CCACTCCCAGTCCCATTCTCCACTAAGATCCATTTTCAATTAAATTTATACACAGAAGACCAACACTAAGTACTATGCTAAGTAAAGAGTTCAACAATTTGCATGAAGAAACAAAACAAAACAACAAAAATGTTCAACAGTTGAGACAAGGGCTGTTCAAAGTCATTGCATCTGAAAGTTAATTTCACTTTTTTTTTTTTTTAGAAACAATTAACATTAAAGAAGCACCCTAGAAGGATACATCTTTTGCAAGCACTTATACATTATTATAATACAACTCTTTGAGGACAGAGGTCCTGCATGGGAAGTTAGTGCACAGAGACTCTTGTTTATTTAACAATTAACACTCATGTATGACATCAGTGATCACTCAAGGATCCAGATATGAGCTGCCTAGTCTATGAGCCTGCTGTTGGATCACTGACTCCTTTTTTTTTTTTTTTTTTTTTTTTGACAGGCAGAGTGGACAGTGAGAGAGACAGAGAGAAAGGTCTTCCTTTTGCCGTTGGTTCACCCTCCAATGGCCACCACGGCCGGCGTACCATGCTGATCTGATGGCAGGAGCCAGGTACTTATCCTGGTCTCCCATGGGGTGCAGGGCCCAAGTACTTGCGCCATCCTCCACTGCACTCCCTGGCCACAGCAGAGAGCTGGCCTGGAAGAGGGGCAACCGGGACAGAATCCGGCGCCCCGACAGGGACTAGAACCCGGTGTGCCAGTGCCGCAAGGCAGAGGATTAGCCTATTGGGCCACGGCGCAGGCCCACTGACTCCTTTTTAATTTAGTCATTATTACCAGACACTCAATCCTATCCATATGATCACTTTAACACTTAAGATGGTATTTTTATCACCCAACCTAAGGGGATTTGGAGGTCCCATGGCAGGTTTTTAAACTATACCCTTATAAGTAACAATGTATTCAGAACTATACAGTTTTACGGTTACAAACTTTATACACTTCAAAATTACAACTTCAGGAACATGGTGATTCTTCCCACCGTGCCTGCCCTCCCACCTTTACCCCCTCATTTCCTCCTCCCACTCTTACTTTTTACTGAGATCTATTTTCAATTACTTCATAAACATATGTTTAACTCCATGTTAAGTAGAGTTCAGCAAATAGTATATTACAAAAAAAACTGTTTCAAAGACAAGGGCTGTTCAAGTCATTGCTTCTCAGTGTCAATTTCACTTCTACAGATTGCCTTTTAAGATGCTCTATTAGTTATCACAGATCAGGGAGAAAATATGGTATCTGTCCCTCTGAGATTGGCTTATTTCACTAAGTATGATGTTTTCCAGTTCCATCCATTTTGTTGTAAGTGACAGATTTCTTTTGTTATTTTTAATGCTGTGTAGTGTTTCATAGTGTATATATCCCATAATTTCTTTATCTAATCTTCAGTTGATGGGCATTTGGGTTGATTCCATGTCTTAACCTATTGTGAATTGAGCTGCAATAAACATGGGGTGCAAATAACTCTTTCATATGATAATTTCATTTCACTTGGGTATATTCCCAGGAGTGGGATGGCTGAGTCATATGTCAGGTCTACATTCAGATTTCTGAGGTATCTCCATACTGTCTTCCATAGTGGCTTTACCAATTTACATTTCCACCAACAGTGGATTAGGGTACCTTTTCCCCCACATCTTCACCAGCAATTACAACTGTTTGCTGATTTCTGTATGAAGCCCATTTTAACCGGGGTGAGGTGAAACCTCATGGTAGTTTTGATTTGCATTTCCCTGATGGCTAGTGACCCTGAGCATTTTTTCATGTGTCTGTCAGCCAACTGGATTTCCTCTTTTGAAAAATGTCTGTTTAAGTACTTTACCCATTACTTCACTGGGTTGCTTGCTTTGCTGTTGTTGAGTTTCTTTATATATTCAGGTTATTAATCCTTTATCAGCTGAAAAGTTTGCAAATAATTTCTCCCATTCTGTTGATTGGCTTTTCACTTTTCTGACTGTTTCTTTTGCAGTACCGAAGCTTCTCAATTTGATGCAATCCCAACTGTTAATTTTGGCTTTGACTGCTTGTGCCTCTGGGGTCTTTTCTAAGAATTCTTTGCTGATGCCAATATCTTGCTGGATTTCCCCCATGTTCTCTAATAATTGGAAGGTATCAGGTCATAGATTTAGGTCTTTAATCCACATTGAGTCGGTCTTTGTTTAAGGGGTCTTGCTTCATCTTTCTGCATGTGGAAATCCAATTTTCCCAGCACCACCTGTTGAAGAGATTATCCTTGCTCCAGGGATTGATTTTACTCCTTTGTCAAATATAAGTTGGTTGTAGATGCTTGGATTGATTTCTAGTGTTTCTATTCTGTTCATTGGTCTATCCATCAATTTTTGGGCCAGTACCAGGTTGTTTTGGTTATAACTGCCCTGTAGTATGTCTTACAATCTGGCATTGTGATGCCTCCAGCTGTGTTTTTGTTGTACAAGATTACTTTAGCTATTCTAGGTCTCTTGTGCCTCCATATGAATTTCAGTATCATTTTTGCCATATCTGAGAAGAAGGTCTTTGGTATTTTGATTGGTATCGCGTTGAATCTGTAAATCACTTTTGGAAGAAACAACATTTTGATGATATTGATTCTTCCAATCCATGAACATGGGAGATTTTTCCATTTTTTTGTATCTTCTTTTATTTCTTTAATGTTTTGTAATTCTCATCATAGAGATCTTTGACATCCATGGTTAAATTCATTCCAAGGTATTTGATTGTGTGTGTGTGTGTGTGTGTGTGTGTGAATGGGATTGATTTTGAAGTTCTTTCTCAGCCATAGCATTGTCTGTGCATACAAAGGCTGCTGGATTTTTGTGCATTGATTTTATATCCTGCTACTTTACCAAATTCTTCTGAGTTCCAATAGTCTCTTAGTGGAGTCTTTTGAATGCCCTGTATATAGAATCATGTCATCTTTAAATAGGGATAGTTTGACTTCCTCCTTCCCAATTTGTATCCCTTTGATTTTGTTTTCTTGCCTAATGGCTTTGGCTAAAACTTCCAGGACTATATTGAATAGCAATGGTGAGAGTAAACATCCTTGTCTGGTTCCAGAGCTAAATGGGAATGCTTCCAACTTTTCCCCATTCAATAGTACACCATTAGGTTTGTCATAGATTGTGCTGATTGTGTTGAGGAATGTTCCTTCTATACCCAATTTGCTTAATGTTTTCATCATGAAAGGGTGCTGTATTTTATCAAATGCTTTCTCTGCATCTATTGAGATAATCATATGGTTTTTGTTCTTTTTTTAATAACAATGGCCAATTACACTGGCTGAGTGCTTAGTTTTATTTACCAAATTCTTACTTAGTACTTTCATATTATCCAGATGTTATTCTGAGTTCATAAATATTAACAAATCAACAGCTTTAGAATGCAGACATCATAACTATCCTCATTTATAAATGAGGAAGCTGAACAACAAAGAAATTAAGTACCTTACCCAATGTCACACTTAGTAGAGGTAGAGTTAGAACCTAGGTAGGTTGGCTCTAGTTTGTGAATCACATGCAGGAGAAAACAAAGTCTTACTCGAGAATAAGAAAAAAAATCTAAATTTGTAATAATAGTTACTATTTCCTAAATATTCACCTTAACATATAATTAACACTGACAAGCCAACCTAATGTAGAAGCTCTTTTCCCCATTTTGAAGATAAATTAACAAAGGCCCAAAGAGTGACATGCTTCCAGTAGCACAACTGGTGAGAGCTGGAACTAGAACTCAAGGAACCTCAGCATCAAAGGCTGTGCTCTTGCCAAAATGCTTTGCAACCTTTCTTATCTCCCTATGGAAGAGAAGTGGACTATATTACTTGTAATGTAACAACTTACAATATTAAAAATGCAGCCCCAAGATCTAAGCTATACCCATGGTCTAGCACCTTGAGGGTTTTATTTTTAGACTAGCCTTCCCCAAAGGCTTCAACTTTTCTTCACACAATTCCCTGAGGGCCTCAGGCAGTATAAGAACAAACATCGTGTGTAATAAAGATGAAATGATCAAAAAAATAAAATGTAGGGCAGTGACTAAAACAAGGACATTTCTGTGAGCAGCATTATACTTTCACAAGTAAAAGAGCCAAAGTATGCCTAACATGAGGAAAATTCCACCTTCCTTCATAACTATTTTCATAATGCTGACTAAAAATTAAACTGGATGATTTTTTTAAACCAAACAATTGTGGGGCTGGCTGTGGCACAGCAGGTAAAAGCCACCGCCTGCAGCACCAGCATCCCATACGGACACTGGTTCAAGCCCTGGCTGCTCCATTTCGATCCAGCTCTCTGCTATGGCCTGAGAAAGCAGTAGAAGATGGCCCAAATCTTTGGGCCCCTGTACTCACATGGGAGACCCAGAAGAAGCTCCTGGCTCCTGGCTTCAGATCAGCTCAGCTCAGCGATGGAAGACCTTTCTCTCTGTCTCTACCTTTCTCTATAACTCTTTCAAATAAATAAAATGAATCTTTAAAAAAAAATCTTATGTTTATAAAGTTAATTGAAAATAGATCTTTGTAAAAAATAAGAACTGGAATAGGAGAGGGAAGAGGAAGAAGGGTGGGAGTGCAGGCAGGGTGCAGGGTGGGAAGAATCACTACATTCCTAAAGTTTTATATATGAAATGAATGAAGTTTGTAGACCTTAAATAAAAGGTTTATAGATAAAAAATAACAATAAAATAAAATTTCAAAAAAAAGTCATATTCATGCAAGCAGAGACTACAATGGTGGCTGCCTGGAGCTGGGGTAAGAAGAAAAAGAAGGTTGCTCATCAGTGAATAAAGTGTGTCATATAAGACATATATGTTCTGGGTCCGGCACTGTGGCACAGTGGGTTGACGCCCTGGCCTGAAGCACCAGCATCCTATTTGGGCGCCGGTTCGAGACCCAGCTGCTCCACTTCCATTCCAGCTCTCTGCTATGGCCTGGGAAAGCAGTAGAAGATAGAAGATAGCCCAAGTCCTTGGGCACCTGCACTCACGTGAGAGACCCAGAGGAAGCTCCTGGCTCCTGGCTTCGGATCAGCGCAGCTCCAGCCATTGCGGTCAATTGGGGAGCAAACCATCAGATGCAAGTCCTCTCTCTGTGTAACTCTGACTCTCAAATAAATAAATAAATCTTTTAAATATATATATATATATGTTCTATAAGTTCTAGTTATCTGTTGAACAATGTAATATCTAACGTTAACAAATAGTATTGTATACTAAAATAAGGAGATATCTGTCATGTTAAATGGTCTTCTGAACACACACACACATGACACATACACACACCACAAACACTGAAGAAACTTTTGGGAACTAATGGATTATGTTTAGTGCCTTGGTTGTAGAGATAGAATCACAGGTGTATACATACATACAAAATCAGTAAGACATATACATTAAATCTATGCAATGTTATACATATACATACACACGTACACACACATAAGCTAAAAAGAGGCAGGAAGATGCCTGATGACTTTAGATTTGAAGCCATCCTACTAAAACAAAAATATAGATCAATAACTAGACCAACTTTGCATACTGATAAATCACCTGAACACAGTATGACATATGGAAATATCTTCAAGGGCTTTCCGCTCCTATCTTTACTTATTTTTAATGTGATCTGCTTCATGTTAATCAGATACCAAGAAAACATATAAAAAAGAGACAAAACCTTTGCTTCTAAAATTCCTGAAACAACTCTGTAAACATCGATAGATAAAACAATTATCTTTACACCTATTACTGTAATAAGCCTTTAATATCAGATGCTTGAATTCTCATTTGTCAATACAGTCAATGTTACACTTTAAAATCAATGAAAAAAATAATCTATATTTAGAGGAAAATCACAAATAGAAGATGCAAAAGACTATCCTTTGAAACAATGTTCAATCTCACTAAAATAGAAGTTTAAATTGAAACAAAAATGCAACGTTACGCTTTCCCTAGTACATTTTCAAAGGTTTAAAGAAGATGGAAATAATTCAAGCTGATGCTCCACCAACAGAAATGAAATATTACAGAAATTCAGGAAGCTGTATAATGCCCAGGAACTTCAGGGCAAGACAAGCTGCCCCAGACCAACACCCCCACCAAGAACACCAAATAAGGTGGGTAATTATTTTAAACCTCTGAAGATTTCTTTTTTTACTATAAACACTTTTATTTAGTAAATATAATTTTCCAAAGTACAGTTTATGGATTACAATGGCTTTTTATTTCTAAGAGCTAACAAAGTAGGGAGGACTTCAAAGCCAAGATCTCAGAAAGAAGGAAAGCATGGAAAAGTGACGCAGCTCTACACTCTGGGATACTTTTTCCCTGAAGGCAGGAGCCAATTCTAAAAAGCAGGCTCAGAGCGCTTCTCAAAGCAGCTGAAAAGCTGAGAGCCTGGAAAGTGGCAGCTGAAAGTCTTAAAGGCAGCTGAGATGCTTGAAAGTTGAGTAAAAGAGGCAGCTGGGAGGTTGAAAAGCTGAGCAGAGCACAGCCTTAAGGGGCAGGAAGCTGGCATTCAGGGTCCACAGAAGAGTAAGAGATTACTTCTAAAGACTTCGCTCTTAGAAGAGGCTAGGACAGAAATTAGAGTCCTCATAATGGAATACCAGCCTCTGATTAGCTCAACTTCAAGTTTCTTAATCTTCATTAGGTTTCCAAACCACTTTTTTTTTTTTTCAAAGATTTATTTATTATTTTTTTGAAAGGCAGAGTTACAGAGAAGCAGAGAGAAAGAGGGAAAGAGAGAGAAAGTCTTCCATCCACTGGTTCATTCCCCTAATGGTCACAATGCTGGAAGTGGGCCAATTTGAAGCCAGGAGCTTCCTGTGGGTCTCCCAGGCAGGTGCAGGGGCCAAAGGACTTGAGCTATCTTCCCCGCCTTTCTAGGCCACAGCAGAGAGCTGGATAGGAAGTGCAGCAGCCGGGACTCAAACTGGCACCCACATGGGATGCTCAAACTGCAGGTGGAGACTTTACCCACTATCCCACAGCACAAACCCCAAATCACATTTATTTTTAAGATGCAAATAAAGTAGCAGGCATGTCACAGCAGGTTCAGCAGTTGCTTAGGATACCTGCATCCCATATCAGAGTGCCTGTTCAAGTCCAAGGGACTCCTCACTTCCAATTAACCATCCTGCCAATTCACCTGGGAGGCACCTAAGCACTTGGGTTCCCACCACCCTCATGGGAGACCCGGATGGAGTTCTGGGCTCCTGGTTTCAGTCCCAGTCTTGGCTGTTGAAGGCATTCAAGGAGTGAACCGGACGGATCCCTTGTCTCCCCTTTCTCTCTTTCTCTCTGTCACTGCCTTTCAAATAAATAAATAAATCTTTTTTAAAAAGGCACTAGAGATAGAGATTTATAAAGTTGACCAAAAGGCATAATCATGAGAAGGCAAAGATAAGTCAGAAGGCAGAATCACATAGCTGATAAAGATTTACACCTTGAATGTATGTGTGTGTGTATGTATGCTGATATATGCATAAGAAAAAGACCACCCACTTGAAAGATGAACAAAGGAGTTAAACAAATGTTCATAAAGATATCCAAAAAAGAAATTTCCACAGCATATATAAAGGTGTTCTCCCTCACCACTCATTAGGAAAATACAAATAAAAATCACATGACACAAATCCAGCAGAAAAACTTTAAAAAAGGAAAATACCAAATGTCAGTGAAAATATGGTGAAAATGGAACTTCCATACATTGCTATTGGAAAAATTAATAACTACAGGAAGTAGTTTGCTATTTACAGTAAATGTATTGTCATGTCTGCAGCACTATTTGAAACAACCAAATAATTGATTAGCAAAAAATATCCATCAAAAGTAGAAATACTCAGGGGCCAGCATTGTGGTTCAGTGGGTACATGCAACACCAGCATACCATATGGGCACCAGCTGGCATCCCGGCTGCTCCACTTCCAATCCAGCTTCCTGCTAATACACCTGGGAAAGCAGTGGAAATTGGCCCAAGTGCTTGGGCCCCTAAGCATAATCTTAACCACTGTATCCAGCACCCACCTCTGTGTACTACTTTTTTTCAGATTTCACTGTTATGCCTTTACAATTTGTGCATCTTCGTATTTGTATATAAAACTCCGAAAAGTTTATTAAGCATAATAAGCATTTTAAAATTTTCTGGGAGCCAGCATTGTAGCATAGCAGATTAAGCCTCTGCCTGCAATGCCAGCATTCTATATGCCATTTCGAGACCTGGCTGCTCCGCTTCCAATCCATCTTCCTGCTAACACAGCTGGGAAAGCAGGGTAAGATGGCCCACGTGTTTGGGCCCCTGTACTCACATGGGAGACCCAGAAGAAGCTCCAGAATGGCCATTTGGGAAGTGAGCCAACAGATAGAAGTGCTCTCTCTCGCTCGCTCGCTCACTCACTCTCTCTGTCTCTCCATCTCTCTCTCTCTGAAACTATGGCTTTCAAATAAACAAAAAATAAATTTTTTAAAAGAAACTTTCTGGAAATTTTAGTTTTAAGGGTCTACTCAAGAAGTATTTTTAAATGTTATTTAGAAGTTTATGTAATTAAAATATATATAAAACCTTTAAGACCTTGGGTTAATAACACCAAAAGAATAGTCTAGAGACCGGCGCTGTGGCACATTGGGTTAAAGCCCTGGCCTGAAGCGCCAGCACCCCATATAGGCGCCGGTTCCAGTCCCGGCTGCTCCTCTTCCAATCTAGCTCTCTGCTATGGCTGCGATAGCAGTAGAAGATGGCCCAAGTCCTTGGGCCCCTGCACCCGCATGAGAGACCCAGAAGAAGCTCCTGGCTCCTGGCTTCCAATTGGCACAGCTCCGGCCATTGCAGCCATCTGGGGAGTGAACCAACGGATGGAAGACCTCTATGTCTCTCTCTCTCTGCCTCTCTTCTCTCTGTGTAACTCTGACTTTCAAATAAATAAAATAAATCTTTAAAATAGTCTATAAAAGAAAACATGGGAGGCCGGCACCGTGGCTCAATAGGCTAATCCTCCACCTGTGGCGCCTGCACACCGGGTTCTTGTCCCGGTCGGGGCACCGGATTCTGTCCCAGTTGCTCCTCTTCCAGGCCAGCTCTCTGCTGTGGCCCGGGAAGGCAGTGGAGGATGGTCCTGCACCCCATGGGAGACCAGGAGAAGCACCTGGCTCCTGGCTTCGGATCAGCGCGGTGCGCCGGCCGCAGCAGCCATTGGAGGGTGAACCAACGGAAAAGGAAGACCTTTCTCTCTGTTTCTCTCTCTCACTGTCCACTCTGCCTGTCAAAAAAAAAAAAAAAAATTAAAAAAGAAAAGAAAACATGAGTAACTTGAACCTCATCAAAATTCAACATTTTGTACTTCAAAATACATTAAGAAAAATGAAAAGCCAAACAACAGACTGAAAGTATGAGGTTATCTGAAAAAAATGTAGAAAAATTTTTACAGCAAAATAAACATCTTTCAATCTCATTTTTCACACTTTTAAAAGTCCCTTCATATTTGCAAAACACACCCCAAATAAAAAGCTTGTATCGAGAATTAAAAGTTACACTTGTAACTCAATAATACTTGAACAACCTAACCGGAAAGAATGAAAGATAGTGACATTTCAAAAAAGATGATATATATAAATGATAAATAAGAACACAGAAAGAATATTCAATATCATTGTCATAAAGAAATGTACCATGATGAGGAATGGGCATTTGGTTTAGTGGCTGAGATGCCATTTGGAACACTTACATCCCATATCGGGGGGCCTGAGTTAGAATACCCACCCTACTTCAATTCCAGCATCCTGGTTTTATGTACCCTAGGAAGCAGCAGGTGATGGCTCAAGTAGCTGTGTGCCTGCCATCCATATGGGAGCTCTGGATTGAATTCCAGGTGCCTGGCTTCAGCCTGGCCCAGCTCTGGCCATTGCAGACAATTGGGGAGTGAATCAGAGGATGAAGATTTCTCACTGTCTGTCTATGTCTCTGTCTCTCTCTCCATCGCTTTGTCTTTCAAATATAAAGAAAGAAAGAAATGTATGCTATGTGGATCTCACCACAATACAAATAAATAAATAGATAATAAAACCACAATGAACTACTATGCCCTCTAGAATGGCCACCATAAGTA